TTAAATCATACATTGATCCTAATACCTTAATAGTGGGAGACTTCAACACCCCACTCTCATCGAGGGACAGATCAACCAGACAGACACCAAATAGGGAAATGAAAGCACTCACAGAATCCCTAAATCAAATGGACCTAATAGATGTCTACAGATCTTTGCACCCAAACTCAAAAGAGTACACCTTCTTTTCAGCACCGCATGGAACCTTCTCCAAAATAGACCATATAGTTGGTCACAAAGCAAGCCTCAACAGATACAAAAGGATTGAAATAATCCCTTGTATACTATCTGACCACCATGGACTAAAGCTGGACATCAACAACAACAGAAACAACAAAAAGCCGACACGCACATGGAAACTGAACAACTTACTACTCAATGACAGCTGGGTCAAGGAAGAAATAAAGAAAGAAATTAAAGACTTTCTAGAATTCAATGAAAATGAAGGCACAACATACCCAAATTTATGGGACACATTGAAAGCAGTGCTCAGAGGAAAATTTATAGCACTAAGTGCCTACAAGAAGAAATCTGTAACATCACATACAAACAACTTAATGGCCCAACTGAAAAACCTAGAAAAAAAAGAAGCAGATACACCCAAGAGGAGCAGACGGCTGGAAATAATCAAAGTAAGGGCAGAAATCAATCAATTAGAAACAAATAAAATTATCCAAAGAATCAATGAAACAAAAAGCTGGTTCTTTGAGAAAATCAACAAGATAGACAAACCCTTAGCCAAACTAACTAAAAAGCAGAGAGAAACCATACAAATCAGCAAAATCAGAAAGGAAAATGGGGACATAACTACAGACACTGAGGAAATCCAAACGATTATTAGGTCTTACTACAAAAGCCTATATGGCACAAAATTTGAAAATCTAAATGAAATGGATAACTTTCTTGACAGATTCCATCTACCAAAATTAAGTCAAGATCAGGTAGAAAGACTGAATAGTCCTATATCTCCCAAGGAAATAGAAGCAGTCATTAACAGTCTCCCCTCCAAAAAAAGCCCTGGACCAGATGGCTTCAGCGCAGAATTCTACAAGACCTTCAAAGAAGTACTAACACCAATTCTCCACAAACTATTCCATAAAATAGAAACAGAAGGAACACTACCAAACTCATTCTATGAAGCCACAGTCACTTTGACACCTAAACCACACAAAGATCCAACAAAAAAAGAGAACTTCAGACCTATCTCTCTTATGAACATTGATGCAAAAATACTCAATAAAATACTTGCAAACCGAATCCAAGAACACATCAAAGATATCATCCACCATGACCAAGTAGGCTTCATCCCAGGAATGCAAGGGTGGTTCAACATACGGAAATCCATCAATGTAATCCACCACATAAACAAAATGAAGGAGAAAAACCACATGATCATCTCCTTAGATGCTGAAAAAGCATTTGACAAAGTCCAGCACCCATTTATGTTTAAAGTCTTGGAGAGATCAGGGATACAAGGCACATACCTAAAGATAGTAAAGGCAATATACAGCAAGCCTATAGCCAACATCAAACTCAATGGAGAGAAACTTAAATCAATCCCACTGAAATCAGGGACAAGACAAGGCTGCCCACTCTCTCCATATCTCTTTAACATTGTACTTGAAGTCCTAGCCAGAGCAATAAGACAACTAAAGGAGATCAAGGGGATACAAATCGGAAAGGAAGAGGTCAAAGTGTCACTATTTGCAGATGATATGATAGTATACATGAGCGACCCCAAAAATTCAACCAGAGAACTTCTTCAGCTGATAAACACCTTCAGCAAAGTGGCAGGATACAAAATCAACTCAAAAAAATCAGAGGCCCTCTTGTATACCAAAGACAAAAAGGCTGAGAAAGAAATTAGGGAAACAACACCCTTCACAATAGCCACTAACAACATAAAGTACCTTGGTGTGACTCTAACCAAGCAAGTGAAAGACCTATTTGAGAAAAACTTCAAGTCTTTGAAGAAAGAAATTGAAGAAGATCTCAGAAGATGGAAAGATCTCCCGTGCTCATGGATTGGTAGGATTAACATTGTGAAAATGGCCATCCTGCCAAAAGCAATCTACAGATTCAATGCAATTCCCATCAAAATACCAACTCAATTCTTTACAGACCTTGAAAAAAAGATTCTCAGCTTCATATGGAGAAACAAAAAACCCAGAATCTCCAAAACGATCCTGTACAACAACAGATCATCTGGAGGTATCTCCATTCCCGATCTCAAGCTGTACTACAGGGCAACAGTAATAAAAACTGCATGGTATTGGCATAGAAACAGAAAGGAGGATCAATGGAATCGCATAGAAGACCCAGAAATAAACCCACACACCTATGAATTCTCAATATTTGACAAAGAAGCCAAATCCATTCAATGGAAAAAAGACAGCATCTTCAACAAATGGTGCTGGACCAACTGGATGTCTACATGCAGAAAAATGAAAATAGATCCATATCTATCACCCTGCACAAAACTAAAGTCCAAGTGGATCAAGGACCTCAACATAAAACCAGATACTCTAAATCAGCTGGAAAAAAAAGTGGGAAACAGCCTAGAATTCATTGGCACAGGAGACAACTTCCTGAACAGAACACCAACAGCACAGGCTCTAAGAGCAACAATCAATAAATGGGACCTCATGAAACTGAAAAGCTTCTGTAAAGCAAAAGACACTGTCATCAAAACAAATAGACAGCCTACAGATTGGGAAAGAATCTTCACCAACCCTTTATCTGACAGAGGGCTAATATCAAGTATATATAAAGAACTAAAGAAGCAGAAAAGCAACAAACCAAGTAATCTACTTAAAAAATGGGGAACAGAGCTAAACAGAGAATTCTCGAAAGAGGAACGTCGAATGGCAGAGAAACACTTAAAGAAATGCTCAACCTCATTAGCCATTAGGGAAATGCAAATCAAAACGACCCTGAGATATCACCTTACACCCATCAGAATGGCCAAGATGAAAAACTCAAGTGATAGCACATGCTGGAGAGGTTGTGGAGAAAAGGGAACCCTCCTCCATTGCTGGTGGGAATGTAAACTGGTTCAACCACTCTGGAAGTCAATCTGGCGCTTTCTCAGACAACTAGGAGTAGTGCTACCTCAAGACCCAGCTATACCACTCCTAGGTATATACCCAAAATTTGCTCAAGTACACAACAAGGACATTTGTTCAACCATGTTCATAGCAGCTTTATTTGTAATAGCCAGAACTTGGAAACAACCCAGATGTCCATCAACGGAGGAATGGATACAGAAACTGTGGTATTTTTACACAATGGAATACTACTCAGCAATCAAAAAGGAAGAAATCATGAAATTTGCAGGCAAGTGGTGGGATCTAGAAAAGATCATTCTGAGTGAAGTATCCCAGAAGGAGAAAGACAAACTTGGTATATACTCGCTTATATAGACCTACAAGACATGATAAACATAATGAAATCTACACACCTAAAGAAGATAATCAAGAAAGTGGACACAGGCGAAGGTGATTAATCCTCATTTAGAAAGACAAATGGGATGTGCATTGAACTTATGACAGGAGTCTATCACAAAAGGCATCTGAAAGACTCTACCTAGCAGTGTTTCAAAGCAGACACTAAGACTCATAACCAAACCCTCGGCAGAGTGCAGGGAATCATATGAAAGAAGGGAAGTTAGTATGATATGGAAAGGATAGGAGCTCCACAAGGACCAAATATATCTGGGCACAGGGTCTTTTCTGAGACTGACACTCAACCAAGGACCATCTATGGATATAACCTAGAACTTCTGCTCGGATGTGGCCTGTGGTAGCTCAGTAACCAAGTAGTTTTCCAAAGTAAGGGGAACACGGACTATTTCTAATAGGATCTCAAGGGCAGGCTGTTTGACCCCCACCCCAGGGGAGGAGCAGTCTGTTAGGCCACAGAGGAGGACTTCGCAGCCAGCCCTGAAGATACCTGATAAAACAGGGTCAGATGAAAGGGGAGGAGGTCCTCCCCTATCAGGGGACTTGGAAAGGGGCAGGGAGGAGACCAGGGAGGGAGTGTGGGGTTGGGGAGGGAATGAGGGAGCGGGATACAGCTGGGACACAGAGTTAACAAAATGTAACTAAAAAGAAAAATAAAATAAAAATTAAAAAAAAAATAAAAAAAAAAATAAAAAAAAAAACAAATAGGAATCCTCAAATCTACCAAACAGACAAACAAGCAAACAAAACCAACCAACCGAGGAAATAAAAACAAAAACCAAAAATCTCTGCCAAACAATGTATATGCACTTGCATAATAGTGGCGCTATGCTTAAGAAGATAACTAACTGCTCTCTGACTGGATCTGAGGAACACTCCACAGAAGAGAATCCATGGCTAATACTGTAAATCTATCATTGGTGTGGGACCATAGCCCATAGAAATAATTTGGTTATTGCTGTTTAGCCAAAGTGACATAGCTTCATAATTCCATTTCTTTTCAACTTGTGGAAGAAAAACTTTTACTGAGTTGCATAAAACACTTGGTTTTGAATAGCATTAGTAGAGAATATCCTCTAGAAAGTGGAGGTAACTGGCTGTATAAACTCTGGCAGCAATAAAACAGTCACAGATAGTCAGCTAAGGCTAGCATCTAATGAGGACGAAAGCCTGGTCTGTGGGGGACTTGTGATGATGCCTGCAGAAATGTTACACTGTGTGTAAACCAAATTGAATCATTTTCACAAGGGTCATAAAGATTCATGCAGTCAATGTTCTTTTCTCCACGCACTTCAGTTCCACAGCTAGAGAGGCAAAGAACACCTAAACGCAGAGGGAAGATATCTAACTCCTTGGTATAATAATGCATACACTTCAAAATGTTTACACTATCATTACGCCTAGGGTTTTCTGCAGCTACAAAGAGGTGGTCATGGAGAGCACGGCCCCAGTATGAACATCTAGAAAGCAGCCACCTCCTTCTGTGTGTCTTCTCATTTTGATTTTTTTTTTTTTCTTCTTCATTTTTCTTAATCAACTCTACTGATGTTGCTGTATCTTAGCACAACTGGTAAAAACAAAATTGTAATCCTTGAACATAGTACTCTGGCTATCAAGACCTTTAAAACCTTCAATCTTCTGGGGTGAAGAAAGGACCATGGAACATATAGAACTCTGATTAATGAAAAAGGTGGTCCAAAATTTTCCTGGCTTGAAGGCTTTCACAGCTTTCCTGATCAGGTCATTATAGGAGGTCTGTCTTAGTCTTGTTTCAAAGCTAACATAAGAAAATTTTGTTTCTGTAGGGCTGTGAAGAGTCCAATGTGTTCCATCTGATTTCATTTCATCCACTGAGTAGCCCCGAGGATTGAACAGTGTTGCATCAGTGACAAAACCTGTATCCTTTGCAGTAATACCATCTTTCATGTAGAACTGGTCCATAATGGCTGGGTCAAGCTCACTCATCAAAATTTCCAGGGTTTGAGCTGGCTGATTGATCTCTTGGCTTTCTGGAAAATCCAAAGAATACAGGTAGCAAGAGTCAGAATTCACACGTTCCATACAATATGATGCTAGATTTAGAAAAATTGCATTAAGAAATTTAATTTTTTTCCTAGAAATTCTAGTATGGGTACCCCTAGAGATAAGGCTTCATGAAATTCTTAGGAGAATAAAAGAAGCTTCAAACTGAGTCCAAACCACTGTAAGCCCTAGCAAGATTTAACAGGGGACCCGGTGCTTTCCATAAGAGTGTGGTACCACCTGTTTTCAAAATGAAATATCCCTTGGAGACAAACATGCTGCTCTTACTGAGTGTATAAGCTTCCTACTTGTGAGTCTTTGTCACACATATGATTGAGCATTGCGTATCCTTCAATAGGACATCCCACTCAGACCTTGGGATGGTGTGAAGATCACAGATCCCTGCAGATCCCTGGCTTGCAATGGACTGCTGTCTGGAGAACCAGACTTTCAGCAGTTCCTCAGTCCCTTCCAGAACAACGTGCAGCTTCCATCACTGTGAGGCTAGCAAACAACCAACAACCACAGAAAATCAAGTAAATTAAATCTCTTTTTCTGCCGCTCCAGTCGCGGCTGCGGATTGTTCCAGGTTTCTTTTCTTTTCTTTCCTTTCCTTTCCTTTTTTTCCTTTCTTTTCCTTTTCCCTTTCTTTTCCTTTCCTTTTTTTCTTTCCTTCTTTCCTTTCTTTTTTTTGGAGGAGTTATAATTTTATATTAACTTCTATTTTTAAATGACTAATAAAAAATTCCCAGCTATTTTTGTGAGCAAAAGTTGAACTTAAGTCTGTTGGAAAGAAAGGCAGATAAAATTCAGTCTCTTGTAGTCTGCTGCTTTCCCATTAGAGAGTTGAGTAGGCACAAGCTAATGTTGCCCCACCATTCAGTGTAAGCCTATTACTGCCATCTTAACGTGTGTACGAGTACACAGAGAAAACCAGACTCTCAAGATCAGAGAAACAACCTCCCCTTCAAGTGAACAGTGATGAATTCCAAGACTCATTGCTGTTCAAGTTGCTGAGAATAAGTGCTCAAAGAATGAATGATCAACATTAAGTATGTCATTTATAGCACCTCTCTAAGTCTCAGGGAGCACTGCATGATGGAGAGGCAAAGAATGAAGTACAAGTAAGATAAAAAGAAAGAATATCAAAGGCCGTTCTCAGAACAACACACAGCCTTTGCATCTGGAATTCACAGTAGCTGTGGATGCCTGAACTGGGTCTGGATGAGAAGAAACCCAATGGTTTATCTCAGGGGGAGAGCACTTGCCTACTCTATACAAATTTTTGGGTTCTCTATTTAGACCTTAAGAAAGAAAGAAAGAAAGAAAGAAAGAAAGAAAGAAAGAAAGAAAGAAAGAAAGAAAGAAATGGGCCATCAATAGTCAAGCACTGATTAAAGATGAATTTTGGGGGCACTATCATTTGTTAATATATGACTTGCTAATAATGCATTCACAGAGTGGAGACATTGATGGACATAAGTGGGAGATACAACAGGGAGTGGGTGAGAGAGTGAAATCACACTGCCGCATATACACAAAATTGTTAAATAAAATTAATAAAAATGGGATAAGGGCCTTGTTTTTCCAATCTAAATGTCCCCTCTCAATATAGAGATACACAGCAAAATATTTTTCCCACTATCTCTAAAATATAAAACCAATCTTTCTGTTTCTGCTAATCTGGCATTACCACCCTGGTCTATGTTGCCATCATCTCTTTGTAGAACTTGTACTTATTTAATTTCATTCTTACCATGAGACCTAGTCAGTTCTTTTAAATTGATTTACATAGAACAAAACATTTTATTAAGTAAGAGCTTTCCAAATACTTGCTTAAGGTCATGGCCAGACCATAGCTAACCACTTACCCATTCTTTACTCACACTGAGTTCCAGATACCCAGTCACATTTGTTTTATTTTAATTGCTTTCTCCTGTGATAAAAACCAATTCTATTGTATTGTTTTCTCAGAACCTTTGCATTATACCTTCCTCTAAAATATTTTTTCAAGATTCAGTTTACCTTCATTTCGAATGTTTGGCTTAAATATTTCCATCGAAAAATCAGGCATAAGGACCAATACAAAGCCCATTCTTCATACAGATTTCTTAACTTGTTTGCTTTCATGGCATTTCCAACTATTTGTTTTTTCAGTTGTTCAGTTTCTATATCCTCTATAGTATAATAAACACACCTCCATGTAAACAGTAATTATATCTGCATTATTCATCAATGTGAATTGCAATGTGCATATCCGCCAGGCCAGGAATTATGAGATCAGTAACCATTTGTTCAGTGAATGACTACACAAAAGAGTGGAGAGGCTAAAGTGCCTGTACAATTAATCATCTGCTTTGCTAAGCCAAGACAAGCTTAACTCACAGCTCTTGGGCCTTTATGTACTCTTTTTTTTACTTTTAGAACTCTGTCTATAAATCTACAATCTGTATTCTTCCTTCCTTTAGCGGATTTTATTTATTTACTTATCAGTTTGTTTTTCATTATCTACTCTTGACACTTGGCTTGAATTCACTCCGTATTTGTGGATTTCCCTCTTTAATCTCCACTTAATGGGAATGATGTCATGCAATGAGTCCCCATCCTTGCTTTGGCTCTACATGCGAGGAAGACACAGAGATGAAGGAATTCTGGAGTAGTGAGATGGCTTCGTTTGTAATGGCAATGTTTATAGAGACTGATGACCAGAGTTTGATCCTGGAACTTACATAGTTAAAGCACTGACTACCACAATGGCACTGTTTACAGAGACTGGTGACCAGATTTTGACCCTAGAACTTACATGGTTAAAGGACTGACCAAAAGTTGTCCTCCAACCTCCACATGTGCACTTTAGTATGTAAATGCTAAAGTTCAAAAATAAAGTAATAGAATAATACAATTATTGTTAAAAAAAGAGGTTCTTCCCTTAATTCTTGGATAATGAATGGTTTATATTATTTGTGCATATACCAAAATATCATTAAATGGTCAGAGAGAAGAAGTATTTTAAAATGTTTTCAAAGGATATGTCCCATTCTATAATTATTTTATATCAGGCTGCTTCTATCATTAGGTCTGCAATCATTTATATGTGCAAACTCAAGCATAATTTGAAAAACTTTTACGAAATATCTCATTTACATAGCCATGCTATCACAAGATTACATTTCTTTTTTTCATGTCCTGTAAAAAAGTATAAATGTATTTAATTCATGGCCTCACACATACCAGGCAAGTGTATTGTCATGCCCTTCTACTTTATATATTAACATAGAGAGGGTCTACTAAGGTAATTCTACTAATCCGTTATAGCCTATCTGCCTTTATATTTAGAGAATATGCTTTGCTTTTCAACACACAAAATGTCTTCTCCTTGACTATAAGTTCATCTCATGTTTATGTGGTCCCAGAAAGCAACTGATGGATATTCTGATATAAACATACACACAGTTAACTTCACAAATACTTATCTTTAACCTGGTACCACAGTCCTAGAGATCTCCTTGCAATTTTAAGGTTATCATGACTATACTTCAGAAGCCAGTTAGAATGGCTAATGGAACCACCTTCCTGTTATTAAAGATCTTATTGAAGCAGTATAAATTAGGGAACAAGTCACATGACCTTCTATACAATCCCTGGCAGAAAATACTTGCCACTGAATGGTTTAGGCTTCATTCACTTGAAAGCAATAGTAAGTTGGCTATACAGTTTAGATAAATCCCCAAATTGTGGAAGACCTTTTCACCTAGACACATCTTAACCCAGAATTATTGTCTGCAATTATCACAGAAATTTAATTACAAGAATCAACCCTTGGAAACAATATTAAATATTACAAAGCTTGTATAATACATTATGCTTATCTTTCTCAGACTATGAGAAATTTACTAAAAACAATACACTAAAATGTAAAAAATATATTCACTAGCCAAATTTAGCTATTCTCAAGTAGTGCTCTTAAATGAACTGACTAATGACTCTCTGTTTACCTCCTTCAATTCTGTAAAGTTCCATTAATTTATAATGTCCCACTCTAAGTGGACTATGAGATGCATATAAGCTAGCATTATGTCCATGAATATCACTGGGAAGTAGGTAGAGGAGTGCCAGGTTTTTTTTTTTTTTTTCTGAATTCTTGCTTCAGCAAATGGGAAGGGCAGAATGATTTCTTTCTGTTTTAAAGCCAGTCTTTTATAAACAAGATCTTGCTAAATCAAGATAAACCCTCCTCATAAACACTAGAAAATTACATTTGTCCTGATGTTGCCAATAGTTTGTGATGGCTACTCTTGGATGGCAACTTGACTACAACTGGAATTAGCTAAAATCCAAAAATGGAGGGCACATCTGTGAGAGATTCTTACTTAATTTGAAGGTTCCCTTATAATCTGAATCTTTGAGGTAGGAAAACATTCTTTTAATACAGAGTTTTTGAGCTGGGAAATATCGTTTCTTTAATCTGGATTTGGAGGCAAAAAGACACACCTTAAATTTGGGTCACATCTTCTGCTGGAAGCCTATATAAGGACATGGAAGAAGAAACCATTTGCTCCTTGACTCCATGCCTTCACCTAGCTAACAAGCCTATTCACTGACTAGACCCTGCTTATTCAGGATTTCAGTGTATACTGAAGCCCAGCTGAGACATCAGTCTCATGGGCTCAGCAACTACTGGATCATTGCACTTTTTTTCCATTCAAAGGCACCCATTGTTGGATTAGCTGGACCACAGCTGGTAACTCATCCTAATAAATCTTCTCTCTACACATAGATATTCATTTCATAAGTTCTGTTATCTAGAAAACCCTGAATAATAAAGATTTTTATACCAGAAGTGGTTCTAAAGCAACAAAGACGATCTTTTAAGTATCTGGTATAGGCTTTTCAGATTGCCAACACCTGCAGTTACTGAACCCGCTCCAGTTACTAAAGGCTCTTCTAGCGGCTTGAGAGAGTTTAGAAAGCCCATATTGTGAACTATATTACAGACTTAAAGAGATAAATGAATTTGATTTACCGATTTTGTGCAGCAATGGATTTGGTGACCCTGTAAATGAAGCATTTGACAGTTTGAGGAAAATGGAGAAGATGGTTTCTCTTAGCATCTCTGGATAAATTGACAAAGGATAGGTATAAGTTCCATGACAAAAAAAAACTAACAACTTCTATCATCTCATAATATGATGATAGACAACGATGAACTTACTGATAAATGACTCTTTCCAGATGCATATAAACAGTCTAAAGATTTCTAAGTGTTCCCTGGAAGAGAACTTCTCTCCATTAGCCACAGAGCTCAAGTTGTGGAAAATCAGATCAAAGCCTTATAAGGTTGGCTGAATTAATTACAGTGAAAATTCAAATCTTGGCTAAATAGGCAGCCAGCAGTTAAAGTAAAGGTATTAATTGTTAAAGAATGGTATCCTCTAACTTTTGATGGGATGTGTTGGAGGATCCTAGTGAATCTGAGAACCTTGAACCCTCAACTTTCAAGAGTTTATCTTGCCTGAAGTAGTAGCTCTATGTTCATTTCCACCCTCTGAAATATTACCTTCTTCACCTTTGACCGAGGAAATTAATCCCACGTTGTATGCTAAAGCAGCAGTGACTTTCTCTGAAGGAGAAATACCGCTGTCCCTCAGAGCCCATCAACAGTTGTGTCCAGAACTATCACCAGACTTAAGACTAAGAAGGTTCCTATAGGGAAGGTAGAATGTATAGTCCGTGAGGAGGTGTGCTACCCTCCTAAAGGACTTAATGCAAGTTATTGAATTATTGCTTATTTATTGAAGCAGAAGTCTGGGAAGCTTGTGTACGAATGCATTTTAAGAGTGTGGGATAATGGTGGAAGGAATATGAAACTAGATTAGGCTGAGTTTGTTGATATGGGCTTGCTCAGTGGAGATTCTGGGTTTAGTTTGGAAGCTTGCACAATTTTTAAAAAGGTGTCAAAAGCTTGTATGAATGGTTGCCTGAAATATTTGCCAAAAGATAGCCTACTGAAAAAGAGTTGGAGATGCCTGATATTCCTTGGCTTTGTAAGATCTTTATGAATAAAGCTTTATAAGACCAAAGAATTTATAAGAATTTTTTTTAACTTTCCAGAAATACATAAGGGAGTCACATGCAAACATGATGAGTTGGCAAATGACTTTAAAATCTTCAGGAAGGGTGTTAATTTATGTGGCTAAGATTCTTTTGGCCTTAGGACAGAAATACAAAGCACTTAAGGAAATAATCCTCATAAGTAAATCTTTAAGTTATGAGCATTACTTTTAAAAGGAAAAAAGTCATGGCAAATTACATAATTTATATCTTGTATTTCCTGTGTAATATCACTTATCCCATTTATCTCGAAATCCTGAAAACTAGTGCTGTCATATATAAATACAATTATTTATAAAAGAAACAATCAATAACCCAGCAGCCTAATATTTAGGAGTGATAGACTTCTGAGGGTTCTGGTGCTCCCATCTGAGTCTAGAATAACCCCTCACAGGCTTATTCTCAACATATACCTTGCTAAATATTTAATCCACAGTGTGTGTCCCTCTGAGGAGGTGGAAGAAAACTCTAAGAAGTCAGAAGTTGGGCCTAGTGAACTTTCGGTTTGCTGGAGTTTTATGGAGTGGAAGCCTGCTGTCTTTCCCACCCTGTGGGAGCATATCCTCTTGTTCTTCATCATAGTGTTCAGTATCACCCAACCACCAAATCAAAAGGGTCCTCTGAGTATATACTGTGACTTTCAAAAGTGTGAATCAAAATAAAGCTTTTTACCTTGCAAACCAATTACCTAAGGTGGATTTACTGTGATGAAAAGCTGATAACAAGCCTGGGTACAAACGGAAGATCCATTAAGTTAAAATTACTTTCATAATTGTGTTGATATATTAGTTACTTTTTGCTCTGTTGCTCTCTGAGATGGTGATATTCAAGGTCTGTGTATTGACAGGGCCACCCCGCTGAATTAGTATTCATTGATCTTGCTTTTGATCATGCAGTATATCTTCTCCTAGGCTGTGAGCTCATCTTTGGCATTGTCAAACATTCACAGTGAAAAGAAACAATTTCAGTCAAAAATATTTCATG